TGTAGATAGTTAAAAAGAAAAAGGTACACACAAACGCGTTTATGTTTTACCTCAGTATAAATTAATATTGGTGTAATATTATGATTTGTAGGTAATTGTTTTCCTCGTATAACATTAAAATCTCTACCTATAAGATATTTATGAATCCCAAAAAATAAAGGTTTAATTTAATACAAATAACTTCTACAGAATATATTTGAATTGATAAGTAGCTTAGTCGACAAGTACTTATAATTTATAAAGTTGTAATATAAAATTCACTATTGAGAATCAAATTTATGTGAATAATTCAATTTGAACAAATTGAAATATCAATCTTGATTGCAAAACAACGTAAAATAGGAAACAATAACACTTTCTACTAAAAGTATGATTTAGAAAACTAAACTTATTTATTCTTAATACAGAATTAATGAGGTATTAAGAAACTCCAATTCCACAAATTTATTTAATTTTCATTTCTAAAGTATTTATTTTTTTCCTTTCTACTATTTGCCTTTTTTTAAAGTGAATGAAGATTGTATTTACACAAAACATTTGACTCTCAAACAAACCTTAGATATCAATAAAATATTAAGTATAATTAACGAAAAGTAAAAAAGGATACATTAATAATTGTATTATTTATAATACAATTTATTATCTCTGTGGATTCTGATTGAATAGACATGAATCCATTTATTTTATCTGAATCAGTGTTTAATCATATTTTACTAAATCACAAAAAGTTTGGTATGTTATTAATTTCTACAAAACGATAAATAATCAGTCTAATAGTCACTGGAGTAAACATTTAAGATATAATTAGTTGTATTTTATATCATACCGTCGTACAATAAAAACAATAGTAATGTGACAAAAAATACTTCATTCTCACAGTAATTTGCTACGTAACCAAATCAATCAAATTTAACATTATACATAATTTTCACAAGTTCTTTCGAACAATAATTTTTCAGGGAGTAAATTTTCATTTAATTATATTCTGTGTGAAGTTAGAAATACATGATAAATAAATATTATTTAACAAGCCTCGTATTAAAAACATACCTAAAACGTGAGACAATATCACGTGATTTATGTTTATTAACTAGAAATTTTAAAAAATATATATAAAAGTAACAGCATAGTGGATCATACTGTTCCAATATTCGGGACAAACCTTTTGCGATAGTATTGAAAAAAAATAAAAATCCATGATTATGTGGTTGAAAATAATTGAATATTTTCGAATAAATAGTTAATCTTCAAATTTTACATGGTCTACATTTCGTTTAAAGACAATCATGAGGTAATATCAATAATTGAAGTAGATGAACCATGTTATTTAGAAATTCAAGTTAAAATTTTTATATTAGATAAAAAGAATAAGATGAATAATATATAAATGAAAGTATTCATAAATATATAATTTTAAAATTTTAAATTGAAAATAATATTTTATTATTTTATATGAACTTATTTATCATTTATTTATGTCAAATCTCATCGATGTCAAATCACATTGATGTCTCTTCTTAAAATATCTTATAAAGTATTATTATATAAAAATATTTTTTCTTAGAAATCCTTAAAAAATTAATAATTAATAGACTATTAATTATGGAATATCAAAATATGTAAGATATATGTTATTATTGCACAAGTTAATATTTTTAATTATACATTATTCATTTGTTAATTACATAGGTTAATTGCCATATAGATATTTTTAAATTTGTGCTATATAGTCATAATAAAATATTTTACGAATAAAAATATTAACATCTAAATTTTATATAAAAATACATATTAAATATTTATTAGATTAAAAATAATATGCATTAAATAATTTAAATGTTGTTTTTTGTAATTTTCAGTCGTGATTAGAGAAAAATAATTCACATATTTTAACTATACAAATTCATTTAATGAATAAATAAGTTTTAGTTTAACTGTATAAATTATAATGCATAAAATAAAAAATGTGTATACGCAATAGTTTCATCCAATTTATAAGTAAATATAGTGAAAAGTAAATATCTTGTGCAATAAATATANTTTCATATATAACAAAACTGAAATGGACTAGAAATATAGGATTTCTTCGTATAAAATCTTTTAAGGACTGCTTAACTTATTTATTTTCTTAATTTTTTTTTAAATCAGCCTATTCTGGTAATATAGAAGTCGGATTTACCTATTTTCATAAAAAAAAAAACATTTTTCTTAATGGCTCAAGTTTAACAAAAAAAAAATCAACAAACAGCAACTCATAGTGTTTACACGCATAACCAATCAATCAACTGATCAAAATCAATCAACTATAACAAAAACTTATCCAAGACATTAACAATGAAAAGTCTGTCTGAAAAGTCTATGTCTGTTTTGGTTTTTTCAATTATTCTCATAAACTTTGAAATGGTGTTAGTACAATTGAAACGATCCCACTAAGCAGAAATAGAACCTTTTTTTTCATTTATAGACCAACTCGTCATATCTCATGGTAAAAAGGTAAATAATCTATAATTATATTTCACACAAACATCGTAACATTAGGTTAATGGATNGATAAGTTTAGATTTTTTTTGTTTAACGGATTTTAGAATTTGATTATGTGTGAAATTTTGTCTGTTAACCGACTTTTGAAATTCGACTGTGTGTAATTCTTTTATTTCCTAAATTTTGAAATTTAATTAAATTTGAATTTTTTTACTAAATTTCAAAATGTAATTATTTATACGTGATTTTTTTTACCATTTTGTATCAATTTTTTAAATCAAATTTCAAAATTTAGTTAAGTTTAATTTTTTTAATGGATTTTAAAATTTGATTATGTGTGAAATTTTGTTTGTTCATCTTGAAATTCGATTGTATTTAATTTTTTTATTTACTTTTTGAAATTTGATTAAATTTGAATTTTTTTACTAAATTTTAAAATTTAATTATTTATACATAATTTTTTGTTCACCATTTCGAAATTTGCAAATTTTTTAATTGAATATTAGTTTAATTCAAACAAACTATTTTTTTTACTAACAGTGCGCTTCAATTATTTTTTTCTTTTCCAGCGCTACTCGTGCATTAACCTTAGACTTACAAGAAATCACTATATGTTTCTTCTGTCTCTAACTCATGTATAAATTAACACTAACGTAAAAAAGGAGTCTCTAACTGCCCCATTTTTAAACCTTAAGTAATGCATAACAAAATTAACATTATTTGTATGATATCATTTTAAAAATAACACATGCACTCCCTCTCTGCATATTTCCCAAAAAGACAAAATGTGAAGATTTTATAATGAATATATATATTGTTACTCAATTGATAAATTATGTGAGTGTATGCTTGACAGAACAGTTCACTTTCTCTTTTGTACACCCACCAAACACAGTTTAGACTTAAACGCCAAGGAGCACAAAACATAAAATATGAATCTATTGATTTATAAATACAAAGCCTATTGACAGTACATGATCATACATTAGCAAATCCATTTTGTTGAGCACAGCATCATGGAGTTGTGTGTGATAAGAACAAATCGAGGCCTAGTTAAGCCAGGGAAGGAGACTCCCTTGAGCACACTAGATTTGTCAGTGATCGATAGGTTACCTGTTCTAAGATGCAATGCTCAAACCTTGCATGTGTTCAAACACGGTCCTCAAGCAACAAGGGTGATAAAAGAGGCCCTCTCCAAAGCACTCGTTCCCTATTACCCTCTTGCGGGGAGACTCAAAGAATCGGAAATAGGGTGCCTTCAAATTGAGTGCTCAGGTGATGGAGTCTGGTATGTTGAAGCATCTTCTCGTTGCACACTTCACTCTCTTGATTTCTTTCATGATCTTCACTCTATTCCTTATCACGATCTTCTTCCTGATGCTGTTCCCGAGACCCAAGGCATCCAACCCCTCGTGCAAATGCAGGTATATATCATTCTCACCTTGTATTTCTGATTTTTTTTACAGTAGGTAAATCTACTTATTATATTAACAAAGGCAAATTTTTAAAAAATAAGTAAATCATGTTGTTTCACACGACTTTATACGAGAAAGTCATATATTTTGTAAATAAATTCAGCTCTGCGATATATATAAAGTTGAAGTCGTGTCTCTCTATAAACTTCAGCTTTTTGTATATGAAAAGTTGAAGCAATGTATCCCTGTATGATTTCAAGATAGGTATCGTTGAAGTTGTATCGAGATAAATGATTTTAACGCGTTCAGATCATTTAGAAGATACATCATTTCAACTTTTCATATATAACAAAACTGAAATGGACTAGAAATATAGGATTTCTTCGTATAAAATCTTTTAAGGACTGCTTAACTTATTTATTTTCTTAATTTTTTTTAAATCAGCCTATTCTGGTAATATAGAAGTCGGATTTACCTATTTTCATAAAAAAAAAAAACATTTTTCTTAATGGCTCAAGTTTAACAAAAAAAAAATCAACAAACAGCAACTCATAGTGTTTACACGCATAACCAATCAATCAACTGATCAAAATCAATCAACTATAACAAAAACTTATCTAAGACATTAACAATGAAAAGACTGTCTGAAAAGTCTATGTCTGTTTTGGTTTTTTCAATTATTCTCATAAACTTTGAAATGGTGTTAGTACAATTGAAACGATCCCACTAAGCAGAAATAGAACCTTTTTTTTCATTTATAGACCAACTCGTCATATCTCATGGTAAAAAGGTAAATAATCTATAATTATATTTCACACAAACATCGTAACATTAGGTTAATGGATAGTTGATGCAATTAGTTTTGAGTGTCCATGCTATGCCAACGAACGCAATATTGAACATTGATTTATGCAGGATTCTGTTACACGTCGGACCACTCGTTAATTTTATTCTCGTTAATTTTATTTTCGTGTTTGAGATGTTTATATCTCAGAGTATGAAGAAGTGTGTTAAAATTATCGGATTGACTAGAAATAAAATCAAATTATAATATATAAATAAGGTGTAAAACTCGTTTTATAAGTTGGTTTTGTGAAAATGAGTTAGGTTTAAATCTATTTCTTAAACAATTTCCTTCAGGTGACACAATTTAGTTGCGGGGGTTTTGTGATAGGCCTCATATTCTGCCACAGCATATGCGATGGTCTTGGTGCTGCACAGTTTCTAAATGCAGTAGGGGAACTAGCTAGGGATCTTGAGAAACCTAGCATTGAACCAGTGTGGCACAGGAACTTCTTTCCACCTTCTCAAACCCCCCAAAAAACTGCATTACCACCAACACCACTCGCTCCTCCTCAAATGCCAGACTACAAACTACAGCATGCTAACATAGACATGCCCCTGGATCAAATCAACCGTCTGAAAAGAGAATTTCAACAAGTGACTGGACTCAATTGCTCGACCTTCGAGATTGTTGCAGCAGCATGCTGGACCAGTCGAACAAGGGCCATTCGATTCGAGCCAAATACGGAACTGAAGCTAGTTTTCTTTGCAAATTGCCGTCAACTGTTGGACCCAGCTCTGCCCAATGGCTTCTACGGCAATTGTTTCTTTCCAGTGACGATCACGGCTTCGTGTGAGTCACTTAGAAATGCAACAACGGTTGGTGTGGTGAAGCTGATACAAGAAGCGAAGGCCAAGTTAGGCGTGGAATTTGACAAATACTTGAAGGGCGAGCATTTGAATAATGGATAAGACCCTTTTGCGCCTCCACTCACCTACACCACTATGTTCGTATCTGAATGGGGAAGGCTCGGATTCAACCACGTGGACTACCAGTGGGGCCCACCCGTCCACGTGGTTCCCATCCAAGGGTCTAGCATTATACCAGTTGCCATTGTGGGGTCCATGCCTCTTCCCAAGAAAGGGATTCGTTTGATGACGTGGTGCGTGGAGGAGGCACATCGCGTTTCTTTCCTCCATGAGATGGATGGGGTGATGAACGAGGGACTGAGTATGTAAATAGGAGAAGATGAAGGGTTCCAACAAAAATTATAACTTTTCTGCTTTTTACTCTTCTGTTCGGTGATGTTGCCTTTTGAAATAAATTGTAAATTCCGTGAAGTTTGTTTTAATATGAAATTGTTTTTTATCTATTAATATATGGAAACTATATAGATGTTAGTTACTCAAAATTCAACTGTTTTTGAACCAAACTCTTTAGTTGAAATAAAAGGAAGTAAATATGAGTATTAAAGGAAGGAGTTGAAATAAGTCTTTCTTAAATATTATATAGATTTTGGACCAATTAGGAGGGATTCCGCTTAATGGTGTGTGAGGGTCTTGGTGTTCCGCATTCTTTTATGTATTTATATATATAAATTAATATATAATTTTTAAATTTTAATATATTTGATACTTTTAAAATTTTTGTATACTCATAAAAAAATTTGACATCCCTAAATAATTTTTGTTTGAAAGTTTTCTTAGTGTACTTTAGTCACATGAAAGATGATTTTGATTTGGTCAAGAGTTATCTTTAATTATTTGTATATTTATATTTCATTAGGTGTATATATTGTCGTGTTGAAATAATATGTTGGAAATATTATTGGATGGAAATGAGTTGTTGAGTTTTATCTTTTAATCATGTAAAATATTCTATTAATAATAAATTATCTAACTTTTAAGATAGGTGATACATGTGTATTTTTTAAATGACATAAGTTAAGTAGATTGAGTTACATTCCACTCCTACATAAGAAAGAGTTGTACTGTAAATATTATTTATCTTGTGGTATTATACTCTAAAAGTAGAAAAAAACTGTCTTAATTATAAATACAGAACCTTTAAACTGAAAACTTAACTAGAATCTATAACTATATATAAAAATGATATACTTATTTTTATTTTTTTTTCTAATTTTACCATTTTAATTATTATTATTTAAATTTAAATAATTATTTATAATAAAAAATTAATTTTCAATTTTATTATTTTATTAACTATATTTTTGAATTTAAATAATGATTTAATATAAAATAATTATTTACTCTTTTATCATTTTAATAAATGTTTTTTTTTTCAAATTTAAATAACTATTCATAATATTATTCACACAATATTACTTATAATATTTTTTTTATTTTAATAACTAAAATTTATTTTAGTTATATTTATAACTATATATCTATAACTATATACATATTTTTGTTTTTTTAATTTTATTTTTCTAATTATTACTTTTAAAATTTAATTAATTTGTAGATAGTTAAAAAGAAAAAGGTACACACAAACGCGTTTATGTTTTACCTCAGTATAAATTAATATTGGTGTAATATTATGATTTGTAGGTAATTGTTTTCCTCGTATAACATTAAAATCTCTACCTATAAGATATTTATGAATCCCAAAAAATAAAGGTTTAATTTAATACAAATAACTTCTACAGAATATATTTGAATTGATAAGTAGCTTAGTCGACAAGTACTTATAATTTATAAAGTTGTAATATAAAATTCACTATTGAGAATCAAATTTATGTGAATAATTCAATTTGAACAAATTGAAATATCAATCTTGATTGCAAAACAACGTAAAATAGGAAACAATAACACTTTCTACTAAAAGTATGATTTAGAAAACTAAACTTATTTATTCTTAATACAGAATTAATGAGGTATTAAGAAACTCCAATTCCACAAATTTATTTAATTTTCATTTCTAAAGTATTTATTTTTTTCCTTTCTACTATTTGCCTTTTTTTAAAGTGAATGAAGATTGTATTTACACAAAACATTTGACTCTCAAACAAACCTTAGATATCAATAAAATATTAAGTATAATTAACGAAAAGTAAAAAAGGATACATTAATAATTGTATTATTTATAATACAATTTATTATCTCTGTGGATTCTGATTGAATAGACATGAATCCATTTATTTTATCTGAATCAGTGTTTAATCATATTTTACTAAATCACAAAAAGTTTGGTATGTTATTAATTTCTACAAAACGATAAATAATCAGTCTAATAGTCACTGGAGTAAACATTTAAGATATAATTAGTTGTATTTTATATCATACCGTCGTACAATAAAAACAATAGTAATGTGACAAAAAATACTTCATTCTCACAGTAATTTGCTACGTAACCAAATCAATCAAATTTAACATTATACATAATTTTCACAAGTTCTTTCGAACAATAATTTTTCAGGGAGTAAATTTTCATTTAATTATATTCTGTGTGAAGTTAGAAATACATGATAAATAAATATTATTTAACAAGCCTCGTATTAAAAACATACCTAAAACGTGAGACAATATCACGTGATTTATGTTTATTAACTAGAAATTTTAAAAAATATATATAAAAGTAACAGCATAGTGGATCATACTGTTCCAATATTCGGGACAAACCTTTTGCGATAGTATTGAAAAAAAATAAAAATCCATGATTATGTGGTTGAAAATAATTGAATATTTTCGAATAAATAGTTAATCTTCAAATTTTACATGGTCTACATTTCGTTTAAAGACAATCATGAGGTAATATCAATAATTGAAGTAGATGAACCATGTTATTTAGAAATTCAAGTTAAAATTTTTATATTAGATAAAAAGAATAAGATGAATAATATATAAATGAAAGTATTCATAAATATATAATTTTAAAATTTTAAATTGAAAATAATATTTTATTATTTTATATGAACTTATTTATCATTTATTTATGTCAAATCTCATCGATGTCAAATCACATTGATGTCTCTTCTTAAAATATCTTATAAAGTATTATTATATAAAAATATCTTTTCTTAGAAATCCTTAAAAAATTAATAATTAATAGACTATTAATTATGGAATATCAAAATATGTAAGATATATGTTATTATTGCACAAGTTAATATTTTTAATTATACATTATTCATTTGTTAATTACATAGGTTAATTGCCATATAGATATTTTTAAATTTGTGCTATATAGTCATAATAAAATATTTTACGAATAAAAATATTAACATCTAAATTTTATATAAAAATACATATTAAATATTTATTAGATTAAAAATAATATGCATTAAATAATTTAAATGTTGTTTTTTGTAATTTTCAGTCGTGATTAGAGAAAAATAATTCACATATTTTAACTATACAAATTCATTTAATGAATAAATAAGTTTTAGTTTAACTGTATAAATTATAATGCATAAAATAAAAAATGTGTATACGCAATAGTTTCATCCAATTTATAAGTAAATATAGTGAAAAGTAAATATCTTGTGCAATAAATATATATGATATTGTTTAACATGTGATTCAATTGGATTTCCTAGTTTATGGTTTAACTTGTAGAAAATCTTTAATAAGTCATGAGCATTCCTTATCACTTGACGTATCAACGAATTAAAAAAAATTAAATATATTTTAGTCACTAAATTTTTATGTAAAGTTAGAATTTATTTTTGTACGAGTTTTCATGAATTGACATATTTTTTCAAACTTCTGCCAAACTTTTTAATGTGCCAATATTTATACGTTTAAGTTGTCTATTTTTTAAAGTTTTGAAAATGAAAAGTTACCGTTAAGTTAAAGGAAATATATTTATTTATTTTTTAAAGTTAAAAAATATATTAAAATTATAGATTGAGATTACTCTTGCTAAGATTCGAGGTGTGAATCTGTATATATGGGGGCAAGATCCAAATTATGATTTGAATACTTTTGATGACGGATGTATTTATAGAATTTTTAGAACCAATAAATTATGTTATAAAAGCAAAAAATATCCAAAAAAAAAAAACAGTAAAAAGTAAAAAGAAATTAGTAGGAGTTATTTTGCAGAGGTTATAACTTCCCAAATTAATATTATTTAGGATTATTCTAGTGAGTTGTCTGAAAATTGTTAATAGTGGAGTTTTAATTTTTTTTTTCAGAAATTTATATCTAATACAAATTATAATATATTTTTTACTTTTACTGTTTTTTCTTTCCCTTATTTTTCTCTCTTGTTCCCTTCTAAATTTTACGCTTAACCATTTCTTCGAAATAAGAAAAATTTAAGTGTGAGTTCTATCTCGAGCACAACTTCATTATCGGTTCAATAAATATAATAACTTACAATTTATATATTAAATTAGCAAGATAATAATAATAATATAATATTTTACCGAGTTATCCGTATATTTTATTGATATATGATATTAAAAGATATTATAATATAATCAAACTTCCGAGTATATTTATAAGATTTATGAGTTCTATAACTTATGTTATAAAGAAGAAAATATCAAATAATATTAACAAATATAACAACTTATCGATTATATGTTAAATTAACAAGATAATAACAACAATGCAATATATTGTTTATAA